CTCTTAAGTTATCAACTCTTTAGTTTTTAACTAACTGTACATTGTTGCAGTTTGCCTGCAGTTTTTTGTGTTACAAAAGCGCATGCTCTCTCTTTCTCTTTCTAAATGTTGTTAATATTTTGTTATTTTTTTCTTAACTTGTTTTTTTGTTTTGTTATTTCTGATTGGATTAATTTGTGTTAAAATGCTGCTGCGGCTGTTAGTAGTGGTGGTTGCTGCATTTTTTCAATTCACTCTCTCTCTTGGCAATAAAAGTGCATAATCGCTGTAAGCTGCACTCTTTCTCTTTTCATTCAAACTTGCTTAAACAGTAATGCTAACTGGCAAGTAAGTTAGTTAGTTAGTTAGTTAGTTAGTTAGTTAGTTAGTTAGTTAGTAGTTAGTTAGTTAGTTAGCTAGTTAGTTAGTTAGTTAGTTAGTTAGTTAGTTAGTTATAGTTAGTTAGTTAGTAGTTAGTTAGTTAGTTAGTTAGTAGTTAGTTAGTTAGTTGTTAGTTAGTAGTTAGTTAGTTAGTTAGTTAGTTAGTTAGTTAGTTAGTTAGTTAGTTAGTAGTTAGTTAGTTAGTTAGTTAGTTGTTAGTTAGTTAGTAGTTAGTTAGTTAGTAGTTAGTTAGTAGTTAGTTAGTTAGTTAGTTAGTTAGTTAGTTAGTTAGTTAGTTAGTTAGTTAGTTAGTTAGTTAGTTAGTTAGTTAGGTTAGTTAGTTAGTTAGTTAGTTAGGTTAGTTAGTTAGTTAGTTAGTTAGTTAGTTAGTTAGTTAGTTAGTTAGTTAGTTAGTTAGTTAGTTAGTTAGTTAGTAGTTAGTTAGTTAGTTAGTTAGTTAGTTAGTTAGTTAGTTAGTTAGTTAGTTAGTAGTTAGTTAGTTAGTTAGTTAGTTAGTTAGTTAGTTAGTTAGTTAGTTAGTTAGTTAGTTAGTTAGTTAGTTAGTAGTTAGTTAGTTAGTTAGTTAGTTAGTTAGTTAGTTAGTTAGTTAGTTAGTTAGTTAGTTAGTTAGTTAGTTAGTTAGTTAGTTAGTTAGTTAGTTAGTTAGTTAGTTAGTTAGTTAGTTAGTTAGTTAGTTAGTTAGTTAGTTAGTTAGTTAGTTAGTTAGTAGTAGTTAGTTAGTTAGTTAGTTAGTAGTTAGTTAGTTAGTTAGTTAGTAGTAGTTAGTTAGTTAGTTAGTTAGTTAGTTAGTTAGTTAGTTAGTTAGTTAGTTAGTTAGTAGTTAGTTAGTAGTAGTTAGTTAGTTAGTTAGTTAGTTAGTTAGTTAGTTAGTTAGTTAGTTAGTTAGTTAGTTAGTTAGTTAGTTAGTTAGTAGTTAGTTAGTTAGTTAGTTAGTTAGTTAGTTAGTTAGTAGTTAGTTAGTTAGTTAGTTAGTTAGTTAGTTAGTTAGTTAGTTAGTTAGTTAGTTAGTTAGTTAGTTAGTTAGTAGTTAGTTAGTTAGTTAGTTAGTAGTTAGTTAGTTAGTTAGTTAGTTAGTTAGTTAGTTAGTTAGTTAGTTAGTTAGTTAGTTAGTTAGTTAGTTAGTTAGTTAGTTAGTTAGTTAGTTAGTTAGTTAGTTAGTTAGTTAGTTAGTTAGTTAGTTAGTTAGTTAGTTAGTAGTTAGTTAGTTAGTTAGTTAGTTAGTTAGTTAGTTAGTTAGTTAGTTAGTTAGTTAGTTAGTAGTTAGTTAGTTAGTTAGTTAGTTAGTTAGTTAGTTAGTTAGTTAGTTAGTTAGTTAGTTAGTTAGTTAGTTAGTTAGTTAGTTAGTTAGTTAGTTAGTTAGTTAGTTAGTTAGTTAGTTAGTTAGTTAGTTAGTAGTTAGTTAGTTAGTTAGTTAGTTAGTTAGTTAGTTAGTTAGTTAGTTAGTTAGTTAGTTAGTTAGTTAGTTAGTTAGTTAGTTAGTTAGTTAGTTAGTTAGTTAGTTAGTTAGTTAGTTAGTAGTTAGTTAGTTAGTTAGTTAGTAGTTAGTTAGTAAGTTAGTTAGTTAGTTAGTTAGTTAGTTAGTTAGCTAAAAGAAATCGCTGGTTTAGCTAAAAACCCGCTACATTGCTCCTTTTATTCTCCTCTTCTCGTTTGTATTATTTCTGCTGGCAGCGAGTTTTCTTGCAGTTAAACTCTCTCACTCCTCTGCTTGCGTCTACGTTTTTCCCGTTAAAACCATAAAAAAGAGTGCATTCAATTGCACACACACAAACATACACAAATAAGTTTGAAGTCAATTCACAAGCTGGTGTTTTTATTGCGTTTTGCTTTTTTTCTGTTTTTGGAAATTTACCGTTTTCTTTGCAATTGTATAAGTGCGCGCACGCGAGTTTATTACATTTTTAGGGGGGTTTAAACAAAACCTGATGTACTTTTTTGGCCATTGTTGTAGGTATTTTACCCAGTACTTTTGTTGTACATTTTTTGTCTTGTTCATTGCAAAAAGAGTAAAAGTTGGGAATTCATGTGTTTTATGCAATTAAGACTTTAAAACTGAAAGAGTAAATGAGAAGGTTAAAGAATTGTGCAGCAATATGCAGAGAACAGTGGTTAAATTCATAAATGTTTAAATATTTTATTCGAAATATTTCTTATATATTATACGTAAGGAATGTTTTATTTGAATTAAATTTGTATCCGAAAATTATTTTAATCGATTGAATGTGTCTGTTCGATTAAATTCTTTCTTCTAATCCGCGGGGGAGGCAGTAACAGGGGTAATGCAGCGGTTTTTCTGGCTAAGCCCGTGAGGGAGGGACGGACTGACTGACGAACTAAACGAAAACGAACGAACGAAACGAACGAACGAACGAAAGAACGAACGAAGAACGAACGAACGAACGAACGAACGAACGAACGAACGAACGAACGAACGAACGAACGAACGAACGAACGAACGAACGAACGAACGAACGAACGAACGAACGAACGAACGAACGAACGAACGAACGAACGAACGAACGAACGAACGAACGAACGAACGAACGAACGACGAACGAACGACGAACGAACGAACGAACGAACGAACGAACGAAACGAACGAACGAACGAACGAACGAACGAACGAACGAAAGAACGAACGAACGAACGAACGAACAAAAACGAACGAACGAACGAACGAACGAACGAAACGAACGAACGAACGAACGAACGAACGAACGAACAAACGAACGAACGAACGAAAGAACGAACGAACGAACGAAGAACGAACGAACGAACGAACGAAGAACGAACGAACGAACGAAACGAACGAACGAACGAACGAACGAACGAACGAACGAACGAACGAACGAACGAACGAACGAACGAACGAACGAACGAACGAACGAACGAACGAACGAACGAACGAACGAACGAACGAACGAAACGAACGAACGAACGAACGAACGAACGAAAACGAAAACGAAACGAACGAACGAACGAACGAACGAACGAACGAACGAACGAACGAACGAACGAACGAACGAACGAAACGAACGAAGAACGAACGAACGAACGAACGAACGAACGAACGAACGAACGAACGAACGAACGAACGAACGAACGAACGAACGAAACGAACGAACGAACGAACGAACGAACGAACGAACGAACGAACGAACGAACGAAAACGAACGAAACGAACGAACGAAACGAACGAACGAACGAACGAACGAACGAAACGAACGAACGAACGAACGAACGAACGAACGAAAGAACGAACGAACGAACGAACGAACGAACGAACGAACGAACGAACGAACGAACGAACGAACGAACGAACGAACGAACGAAAACGAAACGAACGAACGAACGAACGAACGAACAACGAAACGGACGAACAACGAAATACGAACGAGACGAACGAACGAACGAACGAAGAACGAACGAACGAACGAACAAACGAAACGCGAATCGAACGAACGAACGAAGAACGAACGAACGAACGAACGAACTAAACGAACGAAGAATAACGAACGAACGAACGAACGACGAACGACCGAACGAACGAACGAAGAAATAGAACGAACGACGAAAACGAACGAACGAGACGAACGAACGAACGTAACGAACGAAAGAACCGGACGAACGAACGAACGAACGAACGAACGAACGAACAACGAACGAACGAAAGAACGTAACGGAACGAACGAATAACGTAACGAACGAACGAACGAACGAACGAACTAACTAAACAACAACTTAACTAATAACTAACTAACTAACTAACTAACTAACTAACTAACTAACTAACTAACGATACTAACTAACTAACTACTAACTAACTAACTAAACGAACTAACTAACTAACTAACTAACTACTAACTAACTAACTAAACTAACTAACGAACTAACTAACTAACTACCTAACTAACTAACTAACTAACTAACTAACTAACTAACTACTAAGTAACTAACTAACTAACTAACTAACTAACTAACTAACTAACTAACTAAGTAACTAACTAAGTAACTAACTAAGAACTAACTAACTAACTACTACTACTACTAACTAACTGTGTTAGTTAACTAAAAAATTCCAATTCGAATACCTATATTGTATGCTTTAATTTTCTTTCCAATAATTTCTTTTCTTCCAATATATATCTTATTCGAATCAAATGTTTCATTTTGAATAATAGTAAGCCCAGTTGTTCTAAACCACTGTAAACCATTAGCAGTAAACAATTACAACAAGCATGCATACGTACAAAATAACAAAAACCAATTGTATAAACAACAACAATAAACACACAAGGCGAATTCAAATAGAGCTGAACAAAACAGAAAAAAAAGCACTACATAAACACACATTATTAATGGCTGTATTTGATGCTGCTAGTTAGAGCAGAGCTCTGCTAGCAGAAGAAAACATGTGCAGAGAGTGTTTGTGGGTTTTTTACACTCTCTAGCTTTGTGTTTGTGTGCGTTTTTTTTTGTGGGGTAATGTAATGTAGCGGTAATTGTTATTGCTGCTGCAGTAAACCGAGTAATTGCGTAGACCTAAAAGCAGAGGGGATTTGTGTTTTTTTATCGAGTATTTTTTTAAACATAATTTTCTCTTTTTTCTCATTAAACGTAGAGGAAATTTGTTCAGTACGTATTGTACTTTGAAGCGCAACGGAGGTATTTAAACGGATCTTATAGTTAACAGTGTTGTAAGAAAATATATAAAAAAAGATACAAGTTAAATAGAAAACAACAACAGAAAAGTGTTTTAAGGCAGAAACATATGAATGTGAAAACCTATAAGAAAATAAAGAATTGAATTAATTGGCGAAAAGTAGAGAGAAAATAAAAACAGTGAAAAACCAATTAGAAAAATTATTAACAAAAAAAGGAATTTTAATTTAACAAAAAAAGAATTTCCATTTTTAAGGGAAATAACCAACTAACGGTTAAAACTAAAGCAAAAGATAAAGTAAAAGAAACAAAACAGCTAAATAAGCAAAAACATAACGAAGAAAAAGAAACCTAAAGAAAAATTGCAAACATTTTTTTGAAAGTTGTAAAGTTTTTAAACATAATATAGTGTGTGTGTGTGTTTTTAACAATAAATTGCAGTTTTTTTAATGAATTTTTTTCTCTTTATTACAACAATAACAGCAAACAAAAAAGTTTATTATAACAACAAAGTGAAAGTGTGAAAATTAAAAAAAAAACCTAAAGCTGAAGAAATCTTTACAAAAAGGAAAAGCCAAAAACAAATATTGCAATCAACAGAAAAAAAGGAAAATTTGTTAAAATCTAGACACATTTTTAACAAAACTTGTTCGGTAAATGTTAATTTATAAAAATATTTTTACAAAATCTATAGTTTTAAAGAAATTTTTAAAAAAAATTTCCAATATATTTTCCTACACATTTTGCATTCGGGAAAACTTGTTTGCATATTGTTGTTGCTGTTGTTCTTGTTTGTCTCTTGTCTACTATCTTTCTTCTTCTTGTTGTTGTTTAGGCTAGTATATGCAAGTGTTCGTGTGTCAGTTGTTGTTGCTTTTTCTCTACTTATATTTTCTAGTTAAAAAAAAGCAAAGGTTGCCAGATTAGTATTTTTAAACAAATCTTGTTTTTTAGCCAGGGAATGCGATTTTTAAAGTTTTGCTTGAACATTTTTGGAATTTTTTAATAAAATAAATAGAAAAATCTTCATCTTAAATGTGTTTCATGAAAAAAAACATATTTTTAACCCTAAAAAGGGCATTTTAAAGTTTTAGTTTATAATTTAACAAATTTTTATAAAATTTATAAAAAATCTTTAAAAAGCATTACACATTTTTCTATAGAAAAATCTAGTTTTTGAAAAAATAAATTTATTTTTAAGATCGGAAAAAGTTTAGTTAAAAAAAAATGGAATTTTGAAGAATTCTTTGAATAAAATTAATAAAAATCTTTGTTTTTCATGAAAAATCTTGTTTTTGAACTCTAGAAAGGGAATTATAAAGTTTTTGTTTAAAATTTAACAATTTAAATAAAATTTTTAATAAAATTTATGAAAAATCTTAAAAATCTTCATTTAGAGTCTATTTTTATAAAAAAAAATTAGTTTTTTTTTTTTTAAATACTTATGTTCAAGTTCGGGAAAGTATTTTTAAAGTTTTTCTTGAACATTTTTGGAATTTTTAAAAAATTTTAATAAAATTAATAGAAAATCTTTGTCCTAAATGTTTTATAAAAGGAATTACAAAAATATTCGTTAAAATTTTACAAGTTTAAATAAAAAAATTTTATAAAATTTATACAAAATCTTAAAAAATCTTTATTTTGAGTTTTTTTCTGTTGAAATATCCAGTTTTTTAAAATGGAATCTTGTTTTCAAGATCGGAAAAGTATTTTTTAAAGTTTAGTATGAAAATATTTTAAATTTTGTTTTATTTTTTTAATGAAATTCTTAAAAAATCTTTTTCTTAAATGTTTTTTATAAAAAAAGTCTTTTTTTAAAACCTAGAAAGGGAATTATAAAGTTTTAGTTTAAAATTTATATAAAAATTTTAATAAAATTTATAAAAAAAAATTTTTATTTTTAAACTTTTTCTAAAGAAAAACCTATGTTTTTTGTTTCTAAGAGCGGGAATGATCTGTTTAAGGTCATGCTTTAAAATTAAAGAAAATTTTGCTCTATTTTTTTTCTAAAATTGAAAAAATCTTTATCGAAAAGATCTTTAATAAAATTATACCAATTCTTTATCTTAAATCTTTTTCTATAGATTTTTTTAAAATAAAATTAATCAAAATCTTAATCATTGAAAATATTTTCATTTTAAATCTTTTTCTATAGATTATAAGATCGGGAAGAAATTTAATTAAAATTGTAAAAAACCTTTATCATAAACCATATTCGATAGATTTTTAAAAAAAATTGAACTTTATTTCTTTGAACATTTTATTTTTTAAATCTTTTTCTATAGATTTTTTAATAAAATTTATAAACAATTGTTGTTGCAAATGTTTTCTTATGAAAAACTTTGTTTTTATCTAAAGTAGAAGAAAGTATTATTTAAAACAAGTTTTGAAAGTAATTTTGAATAAAATTTATAAAAAAATCTATATTTTGAAATTTTTTTGGTAGAAAAATTTTGTTTTTAAAAAAGTTTTTTATATCTAAAACCGGGATAAAATACCCTTTAACATTCTCTATAGAAAAATCTAATATTCTTAACAGTTTTTCTTTAAATTTAAACAACTTTGTAGGAATTTTTAATAAAAACCTGCTTCCGGGAAGTTTTTTCTATAAATGCCTTTAGTATTCTTAAAAGTTGTAAAATTTAACAAATTTTTAGAGATTTTGATAAAAAAATATATATTTGAAACGCTTTTCTATAAAAAATCAAAATTCTTAAAATAAAATCATGTTTTATAGATTTCCTTTAAAATTTTATAAAAAAATTTATTAAAATTAATAAAATAATTTTTTTTCTATAGAAAGATTTAGTATTCTTACAAAAGTCTTGATTTTGGTTTCAAAGAAAGGAAATTTTGCGGCAATTTTTTGGAAAATCTTTATGAAAAATAATCTTTTATCGAAAAATTAAAAAATCTACTTTTTATTAAAGTTTCTATAGAAAAATTTTTATGTAAAGGTTCTTCTATAAGTAAACCTATTTAAACAAACAATTTTAATTTTTTTTTTAAATAATTGTGAATGATTTTTAAAAAAATAGTCTGGCAATATAATGGAATAATTTCCAATAATTTTTTTTTAAACAATTTTTAAAAATCTCAGCAGGCCTGGCTTTTTGTGTGACAATTGAATTAGTTTTTTTCGGAGTGAAAATAGAAATTAAAAAAAATATTAAAAAAAAATCATAAAATTTGTGTTTTTTCTTAAAAATATTCGAGAAACTTATGAATTGTTATTTTTATAAAAAAAATTGTTTAAATAATATTAAAATTATAAATTTTTATAAGAAAAGCTTAAAATACTAACAATTATTACTGAAGAAAACTAAATATTTCAAGAAAATTATTGTAAGTTTAGCCCATACTATATTATATCTATATTATAGTCCAGACTGTAGTCTAATCTATAGTCCATTCTATTCTATATTCAAACTATAGTCTATTATTTAGTCTAGATTATTGTCTGTCTTATAGCCCGAACTATCGTCTATTCTCTAGACTATCCTATAGTCCAGACTATAGCCTATTTTATAGTCGAGACTTTAGTCTATTCTATAGTTCATTCTGTAGTCTATTCTATAGTCCAGACTATAGTTTATTCTATGGTCCAGACAATAGTATATTCTATAGTCCAGACTATAGTCTATTTTATAGTCCAGGCTATAGTCTATTTTATATTCCAGACTATAGTCTGGACTATTCTATAGTCTAGACTATATTCTATTATATAGTATTCTATTCTATAGTCCATTCTATAGTCTGGACGACTATAGTCTATTCTACAGTCCAAACTCTAGTCGTGATTATTTTTATTACTCTAGTTGTCTTCTAATCCTCCCCAAAACATCTGGCATCCTTAACAAAACAACATTCGTAAAGTTTTTGTTGTTGCTACTATTATTGTTGTTTCATTTTTCTAACTAGAAAATGGCAACAAATTGATTGTTGCCTAACAGGTCTTGTATTTCTAAGTTCCCCTGGAAAAGAAAAAACCAAAGAAGTAACACAACAAATTATAAAACGTAAATGGCGTTGTAAAAAAAAATAGAAAAACTTCATTTAAACATTAATTTTAATAATTTCTTATCTTTTAAAATTCACAAGTCATTTTAATTAATTGTATAATTAACATTACAAATCCTTGATTTTTTCATTTTCTTTCATAATTTTTCTAATAAGAATCTAATGGATTACTGCCTACAATAAAACGTATGAAAGAAAGTAAGAAAGAATTTCACAAAAAAGGTAGCAACAATAGTTAGGAAAACGTTTGAATGTAAGTAATTAGGGTTAGAAAAAGAGTGGCGTTACATTTGTAAAAGAGAACAGTTATTTTGTTCAAACTCTTACTTTAAGGATGAGGTAAAAGAGTAAATAAAAATAAAAGTGGTGGGTTGTTAAATATAAAAATCAGGAAAAGCTTTGCTTTGTTGTTATTAATTTACAAAATAAAGTTTTGTTGTTGTTAGTGTAAAGTGTGAGTTTTCTCACAGGGAAGGAAATTTGTTAAATTTGGAAAGGTAAGGGAAGGAAATTTTGAGGGTAAGTTTAGGCTAGACAATAGATTAGACTAATAATTAGACTATAGATTAGACTAAGGACTACGCTGTAGACTAGACTAAAGAGTATGGGCTCGACAATGGGATTGACTATAGACTAGACTATACCCAGACTATAGACTAGACTATAGGTATATATGCTAGACTAGACTATAGATATGACTATAGACTAGACTATAGGCTAGCCTTTAGATAACACTATAGACTAGACTAGACTTTAGATAAGACTATAGACTAGACTATAGACTAGACTATAGACTAGACTATAGACTAGACTATAGACTAGACTATAGACTAGACTATAGACTAGACTATAGACTAGACTATAGACTAGACTATAGACTAGACTATAGACTAGACTATAGACTAGACTATAGACTAGACTATAGACTAGACTATAGACTAGACTATAGACTAGACTATAGACTAGACTATAGACTAGACTATAGACTAGACTATAGACTAGACTATAGACTAGACTATAGACTAGACTATAGACTAGACTATAGACTAGACTATAGACTAGACTATAGACTAGACTATAGACTAGACTATAGACTAGACTATAGACCAGACTATAGACTAGACTATAGACTAGACTATAGACTAGACTATAGACTAGACTATAGACTAACTATAGACTAGACTATAGACTAGACTATAGACTAGACTATAGACTATAGACTAGACTATAGACCTAGACTATAGACTAGAACTAAGACTAGACTTAACGAACTATAGACTAGACTATAGACGAGATTAACTTAGACCTAGACACTATACTAGACTAGAAACTATAGACTAGACTATAGACTAGACTATAGACTAGACTATAGACTAGACATAGACTGAAACTATAGACTAGGACGTAGGAAAGCTAGACTATAGACTAGACTATAATACTAGACTATAGACTAGACTATAGACTAGACCTATAGACTATAGACTATAGAACTAGACTATAGACTAGACTTATGAACTAGACTATAGACTAGACTATAGACCTAGACTAGACTAGACTATAACTAGAACTAGAACTAGACTAGAGACTAGACTATAGACTAGACTTATAGACGAGACTATAGACTAGACGATAG